AGTTAATGCGGCCCTCGGACTGAAAAGTTTGGAGATCCCTGGTCTAGATGGAACGCCCGAGCGAAATTACGGACACTTCTGACAGATACGGTTCATAGTTGGAACGTGGGTCAAGACATGAAGACAATGCATCGTGACATTAAATTTGACTTAATTGGTTACCTAATTATTTTATAAATTAATTAAAATTTGGACCGAATTAGTAGGCAATTCTATCCACACCCGTCATCACGGCAAAAGCGCGTCATTACGTTCAATAGGTGCGCAATGGTTATTAGTCATGTAACTCTATTGTAAATATAAACATGTAAAGTACTAAAAAGATTCATAAAAAAGTTTTAATAACAAGCTTTTATGTAATAATGCACTAAAAAGGAGAAAATAAATTGTACACTACTATTTAAATAAATATAAAGAAAAGCGTGCGTCTCCTCGTAAATAATAGTAAAGGTACCCAATAGATACTAAAGTGACCCACGCTTTTCTTTATAGTTATTTAAATAGTAATGTATAATTTATTTTCTCCTTTTTAGTGCATTATTACTAAAAAGCTTGTTATTAAAACGTTTTTTATGAATTTTTTAAATGTACCAACTTGGGAACAGAACAAAACTTAACTCAAACGCTTATACCCGTGCTTCGCTACCGTGTGGATATCTAAGGGGGGGGGGGGGGGGGAATATGTCCCCGGGCGCCGACCTTAGGGGGCGCCAAAATGGGTTGGAAAAACAAATTGAAAATTTGCGGGGGCGGGTGCAAATCGAAAGTTTGAGGGGGGGGGGGGGGGTGATGCAAATCAAAAGTTTGACGGGGAGGGGGGGGGGGGTGCACATCGAAAGTTTGACGGGCGGGGGGGGGGGGGCGAATCGAAAGTTTGAGGGGGGTGGTTGCTAATCGCTTGTTTGAGGAGTGGGGGGGGGGGTGCAAATCGAAAATTGAAAGTGTGTCCCCGGGAAGGGTCACTACGCCTCTGGGGGGATGACACCATTAAGTGCCGCACAGGGTGACACCCGCCATAGCTACGTCACTGGGATCTATTTATGTGACTTAAATTTTTAATGCTGGAAAGGCTCACTTTATATATATATTATATATATATATATATGTTACGGTCAAAGCCCGAAGTGCGGCCAAACCCCGGATTGGCCAGCCAATGTGCGCATTGGCCGGCTCTCTTGGCCAAAGCCCGAATAACTTAGCACTAAGAGCGTATTTTGTACATTGGACGGCCAATGCGCGCACTGGCCGGGACGTACTGGCCAAAGTCCGAAGCTTTTAAACTTGACAGCGTATTTTGTACATTGGCCGGCCAATACGCGCACTGGCCTGCATGTCCTGGCCAATGTTCGATCTAGACTAAATTGTGATCGCGTTTTCATTATTCTGGGTGCGGATTCATTGTGAGTATCGTATTGTTTGGCTCTTGTTTGTATAGCATTCTATAGCATTCTATATGCAATGCGTCATGGACCAAAATTTGTGAATCAAGTTAATTCTGAACTAAAGAACATGTGGCCTGAACTTAC